GATTTGTTTTTTTTTGCTGACGAAATATGGTCGATGTTATAAAGTACGTCATACAGTAATTGAATTTACGTAATAGTCTGATATCATTATAAAGAAACATGCATCAATATATCTAAATAGGTGTTAACTAAAGAAAGCATTATGAGATCAAAGCTATATCACAAAACTATTGATTTTGACCACAACATGCTGTAAATCATTATTATTTTACCCTTCATAATATTATGATATTATTTATCAATAACAATATTAATCCTCAGTTTCGACAACGCTGTTGTAAATCAAATACCTTGACACGTAGAATATTCAAAACTTGCTCTATTGTCCCTGCTTTGCATATGACTATTGATTTAACTTGGTTTTCTGGAACAGTGTAGTGAAGTTTTGCCAAAACTTTACCTAAAATGGAATTGATCATCAGAATTATATTGTTTTTGAAGTAGAATATGAAACATTTATCATCAAAACAAACTAAAATATTAATGTATTATCCCTTGAGGAATTTTTTTGTGTCATATGTACTTGCATAACAAAGGAATTAAAATAATCTGTGCTCYTGACGTGCTTSGATACTCATGGGAATTTTTTAAAGTWCTTGTACGTCAATGCCTGTAGCCACATTTGCTAAAATGATGAAAATATTGCAATAACAGTTTTCCAGAAAGGTTTACGTTCTGACCTTTAGGAAACCTTTTGTTTCAAAACAGATTCAGTCTTCCATGAAACAATCTTCAGAAATATATTTCTTAAATTCCACACTGAACATGACATAACTTTGACATAGGTTTTTATCTTCATTTACTTACGATTAAGTGTGTTCCAGTTGTTCATTTTCTGAGCTTGTGCATTTGCTGGGGTGTAATTGTGCATTTCKACCATTTTAGGCAAGAAATGATGGACTATTTCGGCTACTAAAACTAAAGAAATACATCAATGAATAAGCTTAATTCACAGATKGAAACTTCGCCAAACTTTTAAGATTAGAAATTGTACAATTTGGCCTTGTGTTACTTGATTTATTTATCTATAATTAAAGGTTAAGTTTATATAAATAAGTTTACATAGTATGGCAATAATGGTTGATTAAATCAAACAGTACATGATGTCTTATATACAACGTTCGAACATCAGTGGACCCAAAGAGAGAAGTTAATTGAACATTTAGAAACTTTTTCTGGTGGCCTTCCGATAATGTAATTAGTTTTTAGCTAATTTCCAAAACATATAGTTACGTAAGCTACTGAATTTGGTATCGAACTAACCTCCATCGCTAAAATCTCTCGTTATGCTACGCTTAGGACGAGACAACGGGATCTCGTCAATCCACGTATAAAGATCTTGTAAAGCGTCTTCATCCARCGGRCTGTACTGCTCGGCTGGCGACGTTAAACCACTTGTCATTGTCTTTTTCTACTTTCTTATAGATTTATGATATCTTTGTTCAGGCGTATACGGGTCCGTAAAGGTTATACGTGTTTTAACAGGGTCACAAACATCACCATTTGTAATTCAGTCTGGATTATTGACCGCCATATTGTTTTCGTGTTTGGCAGTTGTCATGACGTCAAGTATACAGCGCAAAGTGTTCTGGGTAAATAACGTAATGCATCATGGGAAAAATTGMCAAAAATAATAATAACCAAATATTATAAGGGGGAAATTTTTAAAATGAAAAACTAATTAGTCGATAAATTAAATGATTACATTATTTATGATTTCAAAAAAAAAAAAGAATTCATGATAAATTTGAGACACTGAAATCTGATCGTAAAAATTGTTGATGATTGCATGATTTTTGCAATAAAAATAACGATTTTTTAGAAATAAAGATTTTGTTAAAAATTTCCCACAAGTTTTTTCTATTAATTCGCAATTCCACAAAAGCATCTTTTTTTTCGGGTGTGTTTAAAAAAAAAGTTGTTGGGGCTCCTGTGTTGTGGTTGCCGAGCACGCAAAGAACGATGGTAAAAATATCTAAAATGGCGGATGGTATGTTTTGAGTACTACTAGTATGTGGTCGTCTTCGTTCGAGGTCACGTAAATATTGACAAGCCAAAGCAGACTGATTGAAGCCCTGTTTCTTAAAGTGCAGTGGATAGATATACTACGAGAAATGGCTGTAAAGCTGAATAAAACTCCGATTAAATCTGATGTTGATTTAGATAACAGAGATTGGCCTGACTTCCTTTGTGGTGCTGGCGCTGCCTTTACAAACATATTGATAACCTTTCCTGCTTATAAGATTATGTTCAGACAGCAGTTAGAAGGAATAGTACTCAAGAAGGCTGCAAAGCAAGTATTTCGTGAAGGAATATCGAATCTGTACCGTGGTGTTATCCCGCCTTTAATTCAACGTGGGACATCTCTCTCACTAATGTTTGGCTCTTACCATAAATTCCAAAGAATTCTGTCGCAAACTCTTACAGATGTGAATCCTACAGTAGTCAATGCTTTTGCTGCTTTACTTGCTGGTTCAGTTGAAGCAACACTTACRCCATTTGAAAGGGTWCAAATTCTGCTCTCAGATAGAGCTTTCAATGAAAGATTCTCCAATACTTATCATGTTTTTAAGGAAATCCGAATCAATTACGGGTTTAGGGAATATTACCGCGGGCTCACTGCTATTTTACTTAGGAATGGTCCATCAAATGTCTTGTTCTTTGGCTTTAGAGGAAAAATCAAAGAAACACTGCCAGAATCATCTACCAAGATGGGGAACATRGCAAATGATTTTGTTAGCGGTGCTGTTCTAGGTGCAGCACTTAGTACTTTRTTCTTTCCAGTRAATGTCGTCAAGAATCAAATGCAGAAGAATCTAGGAGGAGAGTTTACTAGCTTTATCAAGACATTTATTTTGGTATATAATGAGAGAGGGCGGAGTATTAAAAGGTTATACTATGGTCTTCCCTTGAACTACACAAGAGCTCTTGTCTCTTGGGGGATTATCAACTGTACATATGAAGAATTGAAGAAATTGATTGGAAAATTGAACTTATAGCCATATTAGGACTGGCTTTATAAACTGCTTAAAAAACATTATTCACATACATAGATATTAACAAATGCTGAAAATGATGGTTTGAATTACGGTCATTAAATGTGTAAGGAATTGTGATCATTACTATCTGGTTCAGCCAATGAGATGACAGCTCGCCAACATAGTTGGCTTCATATCTCAGTTGTTACAGGACTGCATCGTCATCACAGAGGTCATAGGTTTGATTCCCTTTGAAGCCTGAAATGTTTTAGGGCGATACATTTATTAATAATCAGATTATTATTATACTGCAATGATCACAATTTCTTACACATTCACCAAACTCAAACCTTCATTTTCAAAATATAACAATGTTGGTATATATAATGTAAAATCAACACATTGTTTTWAGTATTCAAATTTATTCTTATATCAAAGTATTACCATTCATAAAGTTTGTGTATGAGTTATTGATTTTGCATCTTTTTTCAATAGTACAGAAAACAAAATAGAAATAGAAATTCATTTAAAATTATGTTAATGTAAAATCATGTGAYATTTTTTTATTTTAATAAATGACATGAACATCATTTATAACTTGTCATTTATAACAATGTTTTACAATATTTTTAAGAAAGTAATATTTATTGAATATTATTTCAAGGGGTTAATAATTATTTTCATGTTATAATAAATGATATTATTATTCATCTATTTTATTTGTTTAAGTGGTTTTTGTTCTGTTGCAGGAAGAGGCTGGAGTTTGCGATGTCCCATCCAGTCATTCAGCAAATTTGATGGACCTTCCAAGATATTGGTCATTATAAACTGTAAAAAAGGTATGCAACTAATAATTAATTGGATTCAGCTTGGTATTGTAATTTATACCATTGAAATGTGGGAAAACTAAAATCCTTTCCAACACTTTACTTTTGTAGTACTGGAAGCAAATTGACTTTGAAAACCATGCAATTTTTCTAATACTTACATGTAARCTGTCTTGCATAGGAATACTACAAAGCTCATACAAAGGCATGGATTGAATGAGAAGACACAATTTAGCCTGGCAAGAAAACAAATTAAAACATATTGGAGTGTTTCTTTAGAGAGGTTGGTATTAAGCAGTTGTGCTTTCATTAGCATGAGGGACAGAGGGGGGGAAGGAGGGAGAGAAGAGGAAGG